TCCACTTTCAACAATGATATTTTCATCAGACATGGAAAGCACAGGTTGATTTTAGGTGTAAGGGATCCACTGATCCATTCATTAGTTTCTAATCACCACCTTAGATATGCAGGGTAGGATTAGTCAGTCCAAGACTTATAATGACAGGGTTAATATCAATCAGTGTGTTCAGATGGGAGCTACAGATATTTAGATCATACATCTGTATGTATAGATCATACATTAGTCATGTCATGCTCTCTCAGGTTATTCTTTCTAAATGGCAGCTACACCACAAGGCAGGCTCTCTAACAGAGGTGTCTTGGCACATAACAGGTTGCATAAAAGCTATGAGAAAGGTACTCTAATAGGGCAGTATGTGACTACAGCATGTAGACTCCATTGTTCATGCATTATTTAACCATGCACTTTAAAACCACAGTGATATTTTAACCACACATATTTTCCCTATAAAATACACCTATGAGCTCCAAAGGTCTTCTGCAACCCTTGTATTTGCCTATACCCCCCCATTTATGGCAAAGCAACAACTTCACTTTAATGGTGGCCTCGTCAGCAGCATATACTTAATTTCCCTTCTGTCACACTTGGTTATCTGGAGCAATGAACTATACCCAGTACCTCTGGGAATGGAAGAGCATGAAGTCTACTTCACTTTTTTCCATGTGATAGACTTGGTGTTTGGCTGCTAAGATGCCTAGTGCTCTCATATGGGGGTGTGGATTAAAGTGACATTAAAGCCCCCCCCCCCCCCCAATGCTGCTGTAAGTACTTACCTTCTGTGATACCTCTTGATGCAAACATCTTCTTCCTTCCACTCGTTTCCAACAGTCCCTGATCCAGCGCAGACTCCTATGTCTTTCTGTGTCCCATGGTGTCTGTCCTGCATGCATGCTCATGGCTGCGTGCATTCACTTACACTGTGTCACTCCTCCTCTCCCCTCCGGTGATATTGAGTGTGCATGCACCCGCACACACTTCTTCCTGCACTGCCTTTGGGGAAGCTGGATTCTACAGCCAGGAGCGAGTGGCGCAGACACAGGTAAGTTCTTACCTTAGATTGTAAGCTCCTTAACCACCTCCCGTCCATTGGCCGTTCCTGAACGGCCCAACGGGAGCCTTATAGGAACGGGAATGCGTATTTAGACGTCCTTCCCCCGCCCCCCGCTTGTGCGCGGCGCCCAGCACGCACACTAGTGGGGAAACTGTCAGAAATGTAAACAGCCACCGATGGCTGTTTACAGTCAAGCGATCGAGTGTCTCTAGAGACGCCCAATCGCTTATATTAGGTGCCGGTGTGCGCCTCCCCTTCTGTCGCCGCCGGTCCAGAGATCCCGTGTGCTCGGTGTGGCTGGGACCGGGATGGCAACTCTGTCACAGGAGATCAAAGGTAGATCAGTACTCAATCTCCCTTTGATCTCCTCTCCGGTCCCCGAATGCAGGAAGTGATGTATATTACATCACTTACGCATTCAGTGTCACTCTCCGGCTACAGATGCCGGTAAGAAGCTGCTGAAGCAGATCTCTGCTTCATCAGCTTCTCTGGGGGTCCCTAGGTGACATTAGGGGTCTTAGAGACCTCTGATGTATCCATAAAGAGGACCTGTTATGTGAATTGGCTATCACATAGGGGTTTCTTAGCCCCCTATGTGATAGCAATAAAGTTAAGTGTTGAAAAAAAGTGTTTAAAAAATTAAAGCATAAAAAAATTTAAGAAGCTAAAAAAAGTCACAAATAAAAAAAAAGTAAAATAACACCATTTTTTTTTAAAAGTCCGCTGCCCCCCACATACACACGCAAACATGCGTGGGTTGCGCCTACGTGCGAAAACGGCCTATGTGTTACATATCGCCGCGAACGTCGAAGTGAGAGCAATAGTTTTAGGGCCATTAATCACTGTTAGCACTAAACTGATGAGCGGTAAAATCTTTCAAAGCGTCCCCTATGGCCAATTTTGGGTGTGGTCGTTTTCTGCGATTCCACGGGCGCGCACAATTTTAAGGCTTGACATGTTTGGTGTCTATTTACCCGACGTGCAGAAAAGTATATGTATCTTGCTGCACTCCTTACCGGATTTCTTGAAAAAATACTAGTGGGAGTTGCAGTGACCACTGTTGGCACCGTCAAATAATACGTAAGTATAAAGAATGCCACCAGCACACCAAGCTGTTTGTGTTCAGCAAATGCCCATTTTAATGGCAAATATTGTCATTCAATAGCAAGTACTTTCAGGGCCTCTCAGGGTCCCCTTCATCAGACTCAGGAGCCTGATGAAGGGGACCCTGTGAGGCCCTGAAAGTACTTGCTACTGAGAGTAATACAAAGGATACCTTGCCTGATTATTTTCTAAATGACCCCTGCACACCTTTGTGGTGTACAAGACCAGTCACTCTGCAGAAGGAGAGAGAGCACCATTGTTTGGTCTGTATTACATGAAGCTACTGCACATAGGCCACGTTTCACGTTGGATTTCACATTGAAATACTAAAGAACACTAAGTAAGAATACACATGCCTATCCCTATATTGCTTAACCCAGAGTTCAGTTTTAAAAGTGCTTTGCCCTGCATGGTTAAAGGAGTTCTAAAGTCCCAGCTTGCAATCTCCAGTTATAACATCAGCATTGTAATAGGAATACATACTAGAGTTGTTTTTCATAATGCAATCAAAGCTTACTTGCTTGATACTGCTTGATGTGATCTTGAGTTCTCAAGACTACATATCCCAACATGCATTGCCTCCAGCAAGCAATGATAATGTTACATTGTTCAGATGTTGAATTGAAGGCAGGCTCTGTGACTGTGAGAATGGTGCATATTCACAGGGCTGAGTGAAATGGTGTCAGGAAGTACATTCTATGGGCATCTTTAATAAGTAAGTTAACAAACCTCTAGATGGATATGAGTATTTGAAGTGGGAGAGAATTATGGAAATTCAGTACAGAAATACAGATTTATTTTTATTTTTGGACCATAGATAAACTCAAAGTATAGGGAAAGAAATAAAAAAAAAAAACACTGGGAGGAAAGAGTTTTTGATAGAACATGCATGCAAAGCTTCTTCTGCCAAAAAAATCTTCCTTTCTCCCCCATACATGTTATAATTTTCTGTGTCCACTGCATGGTGCATCCGCCATACAGTGTACACGCTTAGCTTACTCATGTTATCTCTAAGGCTGCATTCACACCTGCGCGGTCTGTGAATGAATGCCAAATTGTGTAATTTAGTGCGCATTGACAGAAACACGGCAAAATGTGCAATGTGCTTGCGTTGCCATTCATTTCTAATGGCACCGCAAATACTGCCAAGAAGATGCACGTTTTTGCTCGCCACTTGCATGCATTAAAACACGCACAAATGTGAAAGCAAAAGTGGTTTGCAAAATTTGCTACATGTGCTTTTTTGCCGTGTTTGTCTCACGTTCAGGTCCGATTTAATTTAATGGGGATGCAGAACAGGAACGCGCACAAGTAAATGTGCTATGTGTTCACTGAATGCGCAGGTGTGAATGCGGTCTAACATGCCGTGAATGAGCCTGGTGACGATGTAACTAAGCACATGTGCACATCATCAGTGGCCGAAGAGGACTTCTGAGAACCTGGAAGTGTATCAAGGTGATGGAGGTGCATTGAGGACGGAACATTGATCCAACAGCACTGGAGAATAGCAAGTAAGTAAGTAAGCCATTTACTTTTGCTTTAAAGTGACACTAAACTAAGGAGTTAAATCTTAAAAATGCATTCAAGAACCTTAACTATTAACAGAAATGTATATTTGTGTATCACTCGGCTGTACATCCTCAAATCATCTCTGAATTAGTGCTGACACTGTCCTTCCTTCTGAAGGGCATAGGAATGAATAGCTAGATTGCTATTGGCTATTTCAATTTGCAAAAGCCAATAGCAAGTTGGCTATTGCATCTGCCTTCTGCTGCTGTCAATTAGCAGAAGAGGACCTGATGGAGAACTTCCGGTCCACCTCTGCTGATTAACAGCAGCAGTGGGCGGGTACAATAACTAGTCTGCTATTGGCTATTGCAAATTGAAATAGCCAATAGCAGCCTAGCTATTCATTTCTATGCTGTTTTTGTTTTCTCTGACCGATGGAGGCCCGATGTAAAAAAAAAACAAACCAGATAGCAGGGAAAGGTTTACTCTGCTAGATAGAGCAGAGTAAACCTTTCCGGGAGAAAATGTTTCTCTCCCGGGTGTCCGAGAGCTGCCATCTTATAGCGGGAGAGTTGAGATGTCTGATCTCATGTTTAGTTTACTAATTTGTATTGGGATTGTAGTCTATGACGGGAGTGGAGTGGAGCGGTGACTACTTTACAACACACAGGGACCATGGGGAACAAAAGTAGCCACCCTCCAGAAGGAAGGACAGTGTCAGCACCAATTCAGAGATGATTTGAGGATCTACAGATGAGTGATACACAAATAAAATACATTTTTATAGTTATGTTACTTGAATGTATGTTTAAGGTTTAACTCCTGAGTTTGGTGTCACTTTAAGGCACAGGTCCACTTTAATATGTCCATGTATGGGCAAATCGCTCCCAGAGGGAAACCCACGGAGCCCCCACATCTCTCCCTCTAACTTTTTCTGATCCCGAAGGAGTCACACACATTTCGTGTGCAAAGTTTCCCCTGAAATAGCTATTTCTAATAGATATGATACTGCCATATTTTTTCCAGAAGCCTAGCGGGAATGTGAACACCCTGTGCCTTCCTAAGAGACTAGTGAAAGGAAAATGGGGCGTTTGTTATGGTGTCCAGCTTGTAGCAGCCTGTGAGAGTGAATGGGTTAAGGCCTCCACATGCCGCGCGCCCCTCCCTGCTCCTCCTCCCCCCTCCTGTGCCTCTTCTGCCAGTAAAGTCCCGTTAGGAAGCGGCTTCATTGTACTGGTCGCCTTCTCCCCGCTCACCATCACTACTGGAGGCAGACAGAGACGGGGGAAAAGTCAGCTAGAAGACGGCTGAAGGACAAGAAGACGACGTCGTGTGGAGGGGGATACGAGAGAGCGGGAAATACGACGCTGAGGAATACAGGGAGACATCCCGGGACAAGTTTGCCGAGGGAGTAACATTGCCAGAGAATCAGCATGTCTATCTCCGTGCCGCAGAATGGAGTTCTGGAGGACAAAGACAACCTGATTGAACTCTTTGTCAAGGTAAGTGTATCCTCTGCCCTCCATCACATGCCCTGTGTGGTAGAGAAACCTTCTTTCTATCAGTCAGGAGGAGGGGGGGCACTGTGGACCGAGATAACCCATCATCAATGGTGATGTCATATCATAGTCAATGGGCTGATTATACAACACTAATCTACTCCGAGGGCTTCAGCTCTGTGACCTGGTGCTGTGCTAATCTGTAAGATGTGGCCCTTCTAAACATGGAGGCTAACCTTTTACAGAAAAAGAAACCCATTCATCTTCTGAGTGCTGGCAGGTGCATGTCAGCCGGCCACAGCCCCAAGACTCCACTCACATGTGCGCGTCTGCATTTTAGTCCCATCACACCAGATGCAACGGCATCCCTTTTTATAGCGCAAAGACGTCTGCCAATTATTGGGAGCAGTTCACACCAGTGCGTTGCCTACATGTGCGCTGCCCTCCTGGAAAAAAAAAAAAAGTAGTGCAGTTTCTACTACTGTATTTAACGCCTGTCAACGCAACACAATGGACATCAACGCAAGGCACAACCAATACCTTTTGACCCTTAGTGTAAAAATCACACCAAAAAAACCCCACGATGCATGACAATGTGCAATGCCAACACAAATAACCGCGCTTGCTTTGAGTCACGTCCAATGCACACATTTCGGTGTGCATGCATCCTTAAGCTGGCCATAAACTGTTCAAATTTTGGCATTCACACAGTGTGTGCCGCTGTCGGCACCCTTTCGGCCGACATCCTTTGATCAGCTGGTTGGTAAAACTTCTAACGAACAGCGCCACCAGCCAAAGCGCTGCCGCCTCTGTTTGGGTATTCTGACAGTGGGAGATTCCTCGGTCAATGCTTTTAGGTGTTAATGGAGGCATCTGTAATATTTTCTTTGTTGAGGCCGCAGGTTGAATATTTGCAGTGTATGGCCAGCTTTAGACCGCGGCTGGGGATACCTGCGGATTCTTGCAGTAGGAATCCCAGGTGAGTCCGTTCTGATATACTTGCTGTGCCCATTCAAGCTAATGACAAGGTGACAGCAGCCCACATCTAATCATACATGGTAACGTTTCCTACAATTTGGGATAGATGATTGTCCCTGGATTCAGTCTGTCTGCGTCCAGGGACAATCGTCTATCTTGGAACTGCAGTTAACTGTTCCATGGACTGCCGCTGACAGATGCGGACAGGTGCACATTCCTTCTGCAGGAATCCTTGGCCACAGCCTAAAGCTGGCCATACACTGCTCTATTCTATTGGAAAAAAAAAATGGAATAGATTCCTCCCATCAATGCTTACAGGTGTTGATTGAGGAATCTCTCACTGTCGTCTTTGTATTCTGACGGTGGGCACCTGCTGCTGTCAGACTACCTGAACAGAGGCAGCAGCTCATTGGCTGTCGGCTCCTTCGATCAGCTGATGGAGGAATGCTGTCTGAAAAAGTGCTGACAGCAGCACCCACTGTGTGAATTTTTGAGCAGTTCCTGAAGAAGCGGCTGAAACTCTCATAATGTATAGCAAGTGTGCATGTAGCCTTAAACGCACCCTTTTCAGCTCCTTTTTGTCATACAACAACTGAAATCTGAATTATAAGCAAATGTCTACATACAGGAGGCATGTGTATTCATACTTGAGGGCTAGTTCACACCAAGCGTGGAGCAGTTACAGAATGGATCAAAAGTCCGTCCAATGCTATTTTGGGCTCTGGTTCAAACCCGAGCATTCAGTTCCAGAGCATGTGGGAAAACTGCAGCATGCCCTATTTTTTTTTTTTGCCTGCTCTGGAACGCACCAAAACGCATGCAGACACATAAAAAATGCATGCAAATGCCCTAGAACGCACTGAAAGCCCATTTTAGGCCCCCCCAAAAAAAGAAATATATCTCGTAGCCCGACGAGCAGCTTCCCGGCCGGCTGTTGTAATTACACGGCCAGCCAGGAGCTTCACATTCAAGTGATCGGGGGTCTCTAGAGACGCTCGATCGCTTGTATTAGCAGCTGTCACTGCCGTTGCCGGTCCTGAGATCCGATGCGGCCCGGGACCGGTACGGCTCTGTGACAGGAGATCAAAGGAAGTTCAGTATACGAACTCCCTTTGATCTCCTCTCAGTCCCCGAATGCAGCAAGTGATATATATTACATCACTTCCTGCATTCAGTTTCACTCCCCAGCTACAGAAGCTGATGAAGCCGATCTCTGCTTCATCAGCTTCTCTGGGGGTCCCTAGATGACATTAGGGGTCTTGGAGACCCCCTGATGTCTCCATAAAGAGGACCTGTCATGTAAATTGGCTATCATAGGGGGCTTCTTAGTCCCCCATGTAATAGCAATAAAGTTGCGTGTAAAAAAATAATAAAAAAATTAAAGAATCATAAAAAAAATAAGAAAAAATCACTGATAACACTAAACTGATGAGCAGTAAAAGCGTTTTAATCGTCGCCTATGTGCGTTTTTTTTGCGGGCGCACGCAATTTTAAGGCCTCCTCCCTGTATTTTCCTGCAGGTGTGGCCAAACTCCAGCCCACCAGCTGTTATGGCACTACAAATCCCATGAGGCATTGCAGGGTTCTCACAGGTATGACTCCCAGAGACAGATGTATGATAGGATATGTAGTTTCACCACAGCTGGAGTTTGCCTACCCCATGCTGGAGTGGGTGGGGCCTGCTGAGTGCTTCCCACAGCTCTGCTCTCTGCACAGACTATGTACAACATAGTTATGATGTCCCTGCTACTTTTACAAGGTAACAATTGGATTTGTATCCTCTGTGTGACTATTACGGAATATATGTGAATGAAAACTTTTGTGCCAGGGGTTCTGCATTAAAGAATGACTTCACCATACCTGGGTAAAACAAAGTTCCATCTCACTTTCAATTCCCGGGTATGATGACCAATAACATACTTACTAGCCCATGGAGTCCAGTGTTGTCTTCCTTGCACATGACGTTCTCCCTGAACTGCTCTGATCGCATGCCACCATCCTGATGCAGTTCGTAGGGAAGACAGTTTTTTTTTTCTTCCTGTGTTACATGTGCATACGTCCCCCCAAATCCAACCCATGCAAAGATATGCTCTAGATCTCTAGCAAGTCCCAGATACTTTGCAGAGACCTGCAACAGGTTTGTGTTGGTTGGGACAAAAATTGCATAATACCTCATCCCTCACTAAAGCACCTGCCTCTTGGGGATGTGTGACATGGACATCCCAAGGGGGGGGGGGGGTCAGGAAGTGGTGTGCTGCACCACTATATATTAAAGTATTTACTTTCCAGAATATTAAAGTCCAAGCTTACTATTTTAGAGCATGCTTCATGTCATGCCCATGTATATTCAAGGTGAAAATGTTTCCATTTTATTATATTTTTCCAAAAGCTGGACTATGCCTTTTAATAAAGTATCTACAATTTTATATGAGGGGAGTAAGCAGATGCGAGGAAGCTCATTTTATTGGTGAATGTCCGTTTTAAGTTAGTAATGTATTAGTGGGTTAGAAATTCAATAGTAAAAGTTAGTATAGTCTGTCATTCTGACTTGATTCTGAGCTGTCTGTATTTTGGAATAATCGGACAATTTGCTTAGATAATGAATAATCCAAAATGGTTTACTTTTAAGTCCTATGCAGACAGCAGTGATGAGGGTCAAAGAACATTCAACAGCCAATCATACTTCACCTTACTGTAGGGAGGTCAGTGGGGGATTCTGTTTGATACTGTTATTTGCCCTTTGATCTTGCAGGCCTATTTCTAAAGATCAGCAAAATCATTTGTTTTCCTTGCACTGCTCTGTCCCCAGTGGTTGTACTTTCATTTTAACATGGCACATTGTGATATTGAAGGGCAGCTTTAGAAATCAATAAAAAAACAGATTTGCAAAATGCATAAAATAGAAAACTGGTTCTTTTTAACCGCCTCCCGCCCGGCCGTTGTAAAGAACCGGCCAGGCGGGAGCTTCCTGGATCTGACTGGCCGCCTAAAGACGGCCTGTTGGCCCCGCCCACTCGCACGTGCCGGAAACTGCCCAAATCTAAAAACAGGCAGCAATGCCTGTTTACATAGAAGCGATCTGCTGGCTACAGAGCCAGCCGATCGCTTGTATAACATGCCGGTCTGTGCAGCCCCGATTGTCCTAAGCTCCGCTGTGCCCGGTGCAAGGCCAGGACCAGCATGGTGGCTCTGACAGGATCAGAGGGAGATCGGTACATGATCCACTCTTCTGTGTCAGAATGCGGAAGTGATGTATATTACATCACTTTCACATTCTTATGTCACTCTCCAGCTTCTTTGGGGGTCCTTAGGTGACATTAGGGGTCTTGGAGACCCCTGATGTCTCCATAAAGAGGGCCTGTCACATCTCTTTGCTACCGCATAGTGGGGTTGCAATAAAAAAAAAGTCGCAGTGAGAGCAATTATTCTAGGGCCATTAATCACGGCTAACACTAAACTGATAAGCGGTAAAAGCTTTTAAAACGTCGCCTATGGTCAATTTTGGGTATGGTAGTTTTTGTTTTTTTTTTGTGATTTTCGCGGGTGCGCATAATTTTAAAGCTTGACATGTTTGGTGTCTATTTACCCGATGTGACCCCGTCTTTTTTATATTTTACCAAAAAATTGGGTAATAATTGTTTCCTAACCTAATAAAAACTTTTGTTTTCAAAATGTTCAGTAATTTCTCCTTTTTAATATAGTAAAAAAAAAAGTGGTGAATAAATACCACCAAAAAGCTCTATCTGTCCCCAAAAATTGGTATAAAATGTATTTCACTTCAGCGTTGCATGACTGAATAAATATCAGTCCAAGTACTGCAGCGCTGAATACTAAAAAATGGCCTGGCCAAGAAGCGGTTAAACAACTGGCAGGAGTCTGTATACATTGGCAATCGATATCTACAAAACTCACCTTCATTCATAATATAGAAGCTTGGAGTAAGTTTACAAATGGACCACTGATGGGAGGCAGCTTTTCAAAAATGTACTTCACTTGTTTCATGGAGTTCAATTCTTTCCTGAATT